GTAGTATTGGGATTATATTGTATAAGGCACTTTGTGGTAAGAAGTGAAGGACACTGGTGTGTTGCAGTAATATGAGAGAAACATAAATATGCGATCCGAAGTTGAGATGTATAACTACAGTAAAAAATAAAACTATAGGCTATTAGTACCAAGCGCAAGCGCCTGACCACGCAAGGACAGATAAGACTGTATGAGGTTGCTCTTCTTTGTTATTTGCTGATTCAAGTAAGATTAAAGGTTGTATAAAATAGATAGAAAAGGTATGTTATCAATTACCAAATAAAACAATAAAAACTTGTGATGGGTGATAATTGTATTGATAAGCAAATGAGACATTTTAAGATTTGCAATGAGGGATCAAGAATTTATGAGAATATGACATGAAAATTACATGTTAACATATAATGAGGAAGAAAACCTTAGTCTAAGATATATTTAGTCATATGAGATTATTGAGAAAAATGAGGCTACATACTCAAGGTTGGTTCTATTAACATAATTGTTTCTTTTTCACGACATATTTTATGTTTCTATGCTCAGGAAGTATATATATACATTTGATTCTTCTCATATATTGGTTGAGCAGCTTATTGAGTTAAATGAAAAATCATATTTATGTTGAGGAGCAAATAATTTTTGGTTTAGTAGGACCATTTTGTTGGCCAGTAGTTGTCGAAAAGGTACTCAGTTGAGTAAGTTACTGGAGAAAGACTGGAAAAAAAAAGATTAATGATTGGCATCGGAAGAACTAGTAATTAAGATTTGAATTTGTGATTGGATGCCCTGAGTATGAATTGCTTATCATAAGCTTGAAATTTGAATACATTTGTTATGTAATACCTTTATTTTATAGATTATCTCAGCTCTATGGATGACCTTTGTTTTAGTTAGCAATCTATGTTATCTAGATAATTTATGATTATAGACTATGTTGTGAATTAGACTAATATAATGGAAGTGTAGCAACTATGTGAATTTTTATTCTGGGTTATATAATGTTTGGGTGTTGAAAAGGAAAAATTGGTAGACAGAGGATTAGATTGATGTTGGGATAACTCTTGGTCTTGGCATTTAAAAGTCTACATGGAAGTTACCATAGCATCATTGGAGAGTGTTGATTAATTTCGAGGACGAAATTCTTTAAGGGGGAAAGAGTTGTAAGACCCGAATTTATATTTATTAGGAAATTGGGAATTAAAAGGAAGTATAGTATAAAGAATGGGGCTACAATTTAATTCATTGGAATAAAGGAGGAATGAAGTGTAGTTTTACTAAATAATAAGAACGAGATAAGGGAGTGTGTTAGACGGTGAAGGAACTAACGAAAAAAAAAATAGAGAGGAAGATCGGAGAAGGAAGGAAGAAATAAAACAAGGAAACCGTGACTTTGAGTGAAGGTCCAACGGTAAGATTAACTCCGATTCTTACCAAATTTGAGTATGTTGTTCATCGTAGTTTGAATTTCATATCTATCGGTTTAGTTTCTACAAATGAAGTTGTTTTGTTTATTTTATATTTTCTTTCAATTTATAGTCTTTTGGATGGAGTTTTCATCAAAAAAAGATGTAGAATTTCATGTTTAGTTGATAGAATGGTTTAAAACTACAAGCTGGAATTATAGATTAGTTATTGAAAGAGTTGAATTAATTTTGATTTTTATATTGATGCCCAAACCTATTTGGATGATTGAAAAATTATGGGAGATTGTTAAAAGGGTTTTAAATGACTTTGGAGTAGATTGAAGTGGGTTTTGGTTCATGAGTAGAAGAATAGAGTTGGTGATAATAATCCTAGTTTTGACACACAACTTGGATAGTTAGTGGGAAAAAGGGCGATAACTCTCTCTAGAAAATTTGGATTTGTGCACCGTTTTTTTTTTGTTAGAACATAGACTTATAGATATTTCTAAACATATATGATATAAAACCTAATTCTATTTGTGTGAAAGCTGACATCTATTTGAATTTGACTGAAATACTACGACTAATGGAAAAAAATCATATTAATATTTTTATAAACAAGGGAACATAACTTTTCACATAGAACCTTAATTTTAGCTCTTGACCTATATTTAGAATGCTTAGGAAGCCTAATTTAAGATTAATTTGGGTTCTTGTTATTTTAGCATAGATATAAGCTTGTTTTAATTAAAATCGCCCGATGGATTCTCGTGTTATTGTAATGCATGTAAAGTGTTCGAGGAAATGTTTGAGTGAAGTGAATGAGTGAAAATGGGGCTTAAGTGACCTGACCTTATCTATTGGGTTGGATAGAAACAAAATAAAGAAAAATTTGAACATGAGAAATAGTGGACAACTTTGACACCCTTTGGTAAAATGAGCATAACTTTTTATAGAAAACTCGAATTGACGCACCGCCAATTTTGTTAGAAACTAGATTTAGATACCTTTTCAATGGTGTATGGTAAATGTTACACCTCATCCCGAGAGACCTATTTGGTATCCCAAACATGAAAGTATAACTGAACACATGACAATATTTGTGCTTGTAGTTTGGGAATGCATTTAAACCAATAACACCAACCAATAATCTCATGAAAAAGATAAATTGTACAACTCTGGTAGAGTGCACAACTGTGCAACTTAAATCAAAACAATACATTAGGGAATTCATTCCTTACATTAATAAGAAAACAAACATTCTTGTACAAAATATACACAACTAATTTCTTTAACCTTCCATCTCGACTCCCCTAGTGTTGTAGTGGACCAAACTCTAAACTTTAGATTCTTGAAAATAAATATTTTCATGAGTTTTCTGCGCATCATAATAAATAAAAATACAATCTGAGGAGAACGACAAAGTCAAAGTGTTTTCAACTCATTTTGAAGTCTCATAATTACTGCCAAAATAACAACATAATAAATATTCCACATGTGCTATGAGTCAACAACAACTTTTAAGCAATGTAGACTATCAACAACATTTAAGTAATGTTAAACTATCTATAACATTTAAGAAATGTCAAATTGTCTCACGACAACTGCGTAATGTTCAAATTAACAACATGTAAGTCATGTCAAGCTATCAACAACTCGACATAATGGATAATACTCAAATCACAAGTTTTTCATAAAAACATATTTAATCCATAATTTCAGCGACCCAACTCAAATCAATTCGAAAAAAATTAATTTCTCACATATAAAAGAGTAAACTTGATATGTCATACTTTTATCTTCAATTATTATGAAATAGTACACTTCACATGTCACCACCAACCAACATTCCACTCAGCTTTATGCTCAATCCCTAAGTGGAATCGGTATAGTATTTTATGGACCTAACGCAAATCATACACAATAAGTTTTAACTCAAAATATCTCAACGGATGCAAATGTATGCATATGAACATATTTTATTTTAAGTTTTATTCATTCTGATTCAACTCGACTTAGATCAAGACAACTCCAATCTCATGGATTATTTTTATAATAACTCAACATGAAACCAAATGAGTTAGAAAGTAATCTTCTTAAGGTTTCTAACAATAGGTCATAAGCTCAAAACAACCTCCCATAGACCATGTTCTGATTATTTTTCAACAAGTTTTCAAATTTAATAAGCGAACTATTTTTAGCTATTTTTAAACTAAAAAATTTGAATTTATACATAAACAATATGATGTTTTACCATATACCATTGGAAAGGTCTCTGAATCTAGTTTTCAACAAAATGGACGGTGCGTCAATTTGAGTTTTCTATAAATATTTGTGCTCATTTTACCAAAGGGTGTCAAAGTTGTCCAATATCTCTCATATTCAAATTTTTCAATATTTTATTTTTTTGATCCAACCAAATCCAATTTATTTCATACCACATTCAACTCAAATAAGGTTGGGTCACGTAACCCTCATTTTTGCTTATTCGCTTCACTCAAATATTTCTTTGAACACTTTACATGCATTAAAATAATACGAGGACCCATCGGACGAGTTTAATTAAAACAAGTTTCTATCTTTACTAAGATAAAAAGAACCCAAATTAATCAAAAAGTAGACTTCCTAAGCATTCTAAATATAGGTCATGTGCTAAAATTGAGGTTTTAGGTGAAATGTTATAAAAATACTAATCTGATTTTTTTCCATTGGTCTCTATATTTCAGTCAATTTCAAACAGATGTCAGTTTTCACACAAATAGAATTAGGTTCTATATCATATATGGTTAGAAAGATTTACGAGTCTAAGTTCTAACAATAAAAACGATGCACAAATCCATTTTTTCTAAAGAGAGTTACCGCCATTTTTCCACCTACTATTCAAGCTGTCTGTCAAAACCGGGATTATTATCCCCTTCTCTATTTTTCTACCCATGAACCAAAACCCACTTCAATCTACTCCAAAATCATTTAAAACTCTTCTAAAAATCTCCCATAATTTTTTAATCATCCAAAATAGGTTTGGACTTCAATTGACAAAAAAATTAATTAAACCCTTTCAACAACTACACTATAATTCCAGCTTGTAGTTTTAAACAATTCTATCAACTAAGCATGAAAAATTCTACTTCTTTCCTTGATGAAAACTCTACCCAAAAGATTATAAACTAAAATATAAAATAAAAAAAACAGCTTCATTTGTAGAAATTAAACTGATATATATGAAATTCAAACTGCGATGAACAACATACTCAAATTTGGTAAGAATCGAAGTTAATCTCATCGTTGAATCTTCACCCGAAGTCACGGTTTTCTTTTTCCCTTTCTTTCTTCCTTCCTTCTCTGATATTCCTCTCTATTTGTTTGCTTTTTCGTTCCTTCACCATCTGACACACTCCCTTATCTCCTTCTTATTATTAAGTAAAACTATACTTCATTCCCCCTTTATTCCAATGAAATAAATTGTAACCCCATTCTTTATAAGATACTTCCTTTTAATTCCCAATTTCCTTATGAATATAAATCCGGGTCTTACAGTAACCATGAAAATGACCACCACAGTACTTTTAGTTGGCGTTGTTTGTGGCCGTTGTATTGACCATGGCTGAGCTGGTGGACATGATAGAAATGGAACGTATTGCTCAAAATTTGGGTAAAGGGAAAGAAGAACAAGAAGATGAGAGTGATGATCGTTTTGAAGATGAGTTAGAAGGCTCAAAAAGTGTTGCAAATGACCAGCTGATCGATCAAAAGTTGGTTAAGGGAGTAGAAGATGAAGAGGATGAGGGTGATGGTTGTTTTGGGGATGAATTAGAAGTCTCAGAAGTTCTTACAAATGACCAAATGATCGATCAATGTTTGTTAAGGGAGTGAAAGAGGAGTATGATGATGGCTATGTTTAGACTTGGAAAGGAACTACAAGGCTGTGAAATGATTGCAATTGATCGACTGATAGAGTAAAAATAATTGTATAAATCATCCAATATTATTTTGGGTGATTTCGAGTCGTCATGCTATGAATATTCTTTTGTGGGAGTTCAAACGGTAGTATTCTCCGACATAAATGCAACATTGGTTATTGATATTCTTTGTTTTCAAGGTAGATTACATTTTGCATACTTAAAATTGTGAGCTGTCAATAATTTCAATGAAACAAGCAACAAAGTACATTTTACTTACCGAAAAAAAAGAAAATAGTACTTTTGGCCTAATAAAAATGTTATTCTTTGTTTTCAAGCCTCATTTCACTTTGGCCTCAAAGATCAATGTGCAACCTAAGCGTTTTTGGAGCCATCTAGTACTAGATAGTGCTTANCAGCTTCATTTGTAGAAATTAAACTGATATATATGAAATTCAAACTGCGATGAACAACATACTCAAATTTGGTAAGAATCGAAGTTAATCTCATCGTTGAATCTTCACCCGAAGTCACGGTTTTCTTTTTCCCTTTCTTTCTTCCTTCCTTCTCTGATATTCCTCTCTATTTGTTTGCTTTTTCGTTCCTTCACCATCTGACACACTCCCTTATCTCCTTCTTATTATTAAGTAAAACTATACTTCATTCCCCCTTTATTCCAATGAAATAAATTGTAACCCCATTCTTTATAAGATACTTCCTTTTAATTCCCAATTTCCTTATGAATATAAATCCGGGTCTTACAGTAACCCTGAAAATGACCACCACAGTACTTTTAGTTGGCGTTGTGGCCGTTGTATTGACCATGGCTGAGCTGGTGGACATGATAGAAATGGAACGTATTGCTCAAAATTTGGGTAAAAGGAAAGAAGAACAAGAAGATGAGAGTGATGATCGTTTTGAAGATGAGTTAGAAGGCTCAAAAAGTGTTGCAAATGACCAGCTGATCGATCAAAAGTTGGTTAAGGGAGTAGAAGATGAAGAGGATGAGGGTGATGGTTGTTTTGGGGATGAATTAGAAGTCTCAGAAGTTCTTACAAATGACCAAATGATCGATCAATGTTTGTTAAGGGAGTGAAAGAGGAGTATGATGATGGCTATGTTTAGACTTGGAAAGGAACTACAAGGCTGTGAAATGATTGCAATTGATCGACTGATAGAGTAAAAATAATTGTATAAATCATCCAATATTATTTTGGGTGATTTCGAGTCGTCATGCTATGAATATTCTTTTGCGGGAGTTCAAACGGTAGTATTCTCCGACATAAATGCAACATTGGTTATTGATATTCTTTGTTTTCAAGGTAGATTACATTTTGCATACTTAAAATTGTGAGCTGTCAATAATTTCAATGAAACAAGCAACAAAGTACATTTTACTTGCCGAAAAAAAAAAATAGTACTTTTGGCCTAATAAATATGTTATTCTTTGTTTTCAAGCCTCATTTCACTTTGGCCTTAAAGATCAATGTGCAACCTAAGCGTTTTTGGAGCCATCTAGTACTAGATAGTGCTTAGTCAAGCACACCCCCACCTTGGCTTCAGCATGGGAAACCATTGACTATGTCACCCACATGCCTTAGCTATTTCAACTTGTTAAGGAGCTAACTATCTTCTCTATTATTGAATTTTTTCGATAACAAACTTATAACTAAGATAGTAAAAATGTCCATCAATCCAAGTTTTCAAGCTCCAACTCTCAATCAAACATCTATTATGTTCAGATGAAAAATGTCCATGTTTCATTAAATTTTAGGCCGAAGTGAAGCAAAATAACAGATTTTGTGGGTAAAGTGATACAGAGTCCCATGCAATTATTTCAATCATCTATAGTTAAGATAAAGAAAAATCAACAACCATAGTTAAAAATGAAATGTGAAAAAAAAAATGGCAGTTGACTAGAGTCATACTATAGAACAAAGTAAAATTTCCCCCATTTTTATAAGGCTTTTGGGCCCAGGGAAAAAACAGCTAGAAGTGTTCCAATCTTTTACCTATTTTTTTTTTTCAAAAAGTAAAGGTTTTGTACTAATTCAAAATCTTGATGCACATATGTGAGGAGTGTGTCCTTACATTTATAATGGACAACACCCATTGCAATAACAAAATGCACAAGCTGCACAAATTAAATTCCAAGGTTTGCCTAAAGAAGTTGAATTCCATTGAAAGTATAGGCCTTGAGCTAGTATTTCTAGCAAAATTCTATTTCACCCAAAACACTCCACAGAGCAAAGCAAAGTGATGGCGGGATATCCAGAGCAAGTCTTTAGTTTAGCTCTAGCTCTTAGCTGGCAGCTACCACTGTTGAGACAACTGGCCATTCTTAGGAATGTTCTTGAATCTCCTATATGTTAATTTCCTCCTTATAATTTGCTGGATTTATTGTGACAAAGAGTTAGTGTATCTGAATTAATTCTACAACCTTCTATTGTTCCTTTCCCTCCATAGATAGTATACAGTTTCTATTAGGCTAATTCTACATAATATCTTCTGCATAGAAATCTCATTCAAAGAAATCTCCTTTCCCTCCAATAGCTTGAAGCCCATTCAAAGAAATCTCATTTTTTTTGGGTGGATTTTGCTTTTGGCTCCTAGATCTGACTGGGTTAGATCACTTGACATCGTATTACAGGAAATTGTGTTAAAATTGAGTCAATCGGAATATAAAATTAAACCAGTCGATTATGTCCAAATCTCTCAACACAAACCAATTATTTCATGGGTACTATAACATCACTCGGTTACTACCTTAATAAACAAGTTGAATGGGGTTAGGAGATTCCACAAGTTGGAAGGATCATTTTTTTATAGACAAGTACAAATAAATTAAATAATTAAAAAAATTAAACTTCTTTCATGTGTCATAATCATTTGTGTAGTCATAGGGGTCAAATTAGAGATGTTTAGTGGAAAACCCGTAATTTTGAAAATAAATAAATAATAATTTTTGGTCCTATAAAAAGTAAAATTTGAAAATTGTTGGATTTAAAACCCTACATTCAACCCCATTTCTTCCATTATTTCATTCCATTCTCATCCAATTCCTCTTAGAACCTGATAACAATATAAAGGGAAAGAGATAAGGAAAAAAGAAATTCTCGTAAACTTAGGCATTGTTGGGAATCCTAGGAACTTGACTTAGAATTGTTGATACCTAGGAAGGGTTTTCCTCTCTCTTGCATTTACTTTGTGCATCTCATGTATTTTTTTTAGCTAAAATTTAATGTGTTTGATGACAAATGCTTGTTATAAATCTTGATTTAGTGTTAAATATGTTATGAATTGTAAACCTACATGCATAAAAATGATTTTAGTGTTGTGGGTTTGAAACCCTAGTTTGATTAAACCTATGATTTGTGGGTCTTGTAGTATGGTATGATCTTGTTCATAATGTATATAACTTATTCTCTTGAAAATTATTGTGTTACTTTGAAAATGTAAATTTTGAGATTTTGAGCCCACCACATGTTTAATAGAATGTCAAGGTTATGGGAAGGGTTTTCAAAAGGGTTATGGATATAAAAAATAATGATTTTTGGAAAGATATACTAAATGCTGATAGACATAGGGTTAATAGACGGTTGAGGCCTATTGAGTGGGTTGACAATGTGGTTACTAGTCCTAAAGAGGATTAGTTATGGTAGTGGTTGTCGGTGATGGCCTGTGTGACGTGACAAGTTGTGCTCTACACGTCTCCCTGAAAAAGAAAAAGAACGATGAGAGCCTAGGATGCAAGACCCAAAAGGTTTTTCAAGGATGGTTCATGCTTAAATCGATGTGATTGATTATATTGCCCGTATGCGAGACATGTATGATATTTACTAAGATAGTTTGGTTTTAAATGTAATAACCTTTAATTTATAACCTTTATATTTCAAATGATGATATGTTGGGAGATTTTCACAAATGTTCTACTTATTAAATTGTGCATATAGTGCATTATACAAAGCTTTTATTATTTATTCTTATAATTTGTGAAATATTGGCTTTAAAACTTTGTACATGCTTGAGAAAAGAATTATCTTACTGGGATGTGGTTGTTCATCCCTTAATAATACTTTTAGAGACTAGCATGTATCTTGGGGCGTACTTTTAGAGACTAGCATGTATCTTGGGGCGTAGGTGATAGAATGCTTGTGGGAGTTTGGACTAGGAAGAATATCTTTTAGAATACTTTTGTATGTAGAACTTATGTAGAAATGTTAGCTCACAAATGTTGTATTTGGAAAGATTGTCTTGAGATACTCGTGGTGTACACTTGATCATCCCAGAGAGGGGTTATTATTTTGGGTATTGTAATTTTGTAAATGTCATTGTTTTATCTCAAAACCATATATATTATTTTATAATTGAGACTTTTTTTTTTATGATTATCTTATCCTTGTTTGNAAGTTATAATTTTATGTTTAAGGTTTTAGTATATATTTGTATTGAATGTATCCAGGTTTGGGAGGATTTTGTGGGACTCTATTTGTCACCCCAGCTTTAGTTAGATTATAGTTTGATGGAGGAGGTATGTTGTGGATTTTTAGTTAGTTTGAATTATGTTATGCTCTCACAGGAATGTTGTTACTAGCTGGTTAGAAACCCGATTTTTAATTAAAACTTTACCAAAATTCTTGAAAAACTATGTTTTGATAAAACCGAATGTTTCATTTCATTCAATTATTATTGTAAACCGGCAACAGATTTTGAGATAAATATTACTTTTTATTAAATTACATTTTAATGAAAATTGAGGAGTGACAGTAGACGCTCTTCCTAAAGTATTGTATTCTTGTGAGAATTGGGTGTGTGCGACTGTGGACCAGTATATTCTCGATGTGTAAATTCATGTTAGTCTATCTACATACATGAGATATTAGGTTATGAATTGTGGTTTCTATTACTATTTTACTATGAACTTTATTGGTTGTACCATAAACTTGAGATCATTAGTAAATGTCATTGTTTTATCTCAAAACCATATATATTATTTTATAATTGAGACTTTTTTTTTTATGATTATCTTATCCTTGTTTGAGTTTGAAAAGATTTTCCTGCTGAGGTTTTTGCTCACCATACCATAAAATTTTTCTAGTTTTGGGCTTGAGGAAGATATAACCTTAGATGAACAGGTTGACTTTGAGATGACAGTAGATCAAGAAGTAGATCTAGACATCGAGTCTTGGAGAGCCTTTTTAATTTAAAATTTTGAAGTTCAGTTATTAGACAATTTTATGAATATTTCGTATTTAGTTAGTTGAAAGATTATTGCTAATAAAATTTTGGTTACAATGCATTAGGTTTTGGATATGGTCACAATAGCATTGCTAGCAGACCCATTTCGATCTAACAATTAACATGTATTTGGTAAATAAAATTTGATAAAATATTTGATTAGTATAGTAGTGTTAACATTTTAATCTCTATTAAGGGAACAAATTCAATGTTCACCCTTGTCGTTTTATACAGTGGCCATTTAATGGTCTATTGTTTCTCCAATTCGACTTTGCCCCCTACAAATTCCTAGTTCTCATAAGTTACTGGATTAGGAATAGAAGTATTGATGGGTTAGGCAGGTTATGTGTGATTGCAATTTTATTCACCCCTCATAGTTTGACTTCAACCAAGTTACAAGTTCAAGATACTATACAAAAAATGGGTTTTTCTATCTCTTCTTGTTTGGATGATTTATTTAGTGAAAATTAGTGGAAAGTACAACCATATCCTTTTTTTTAGTCATTACATCTAAGGAAGGTTTTTTTAACGTCTTAAAGACATATTTGGCAAGGGTGACAATCAAGTCGTGTCAACCGTGCCTATATCAAGTCATTTACTAATTTGTGTTTAGCACTACCTTGTTATCCTAACCTACCTTCCTTAACTGTGTGTCTCTTGTCTACTTCACTTGTTTATTTTCATTATGTGTTTATGTTGATCCATATAACCGATGAATAAAAAATTTAATACCAAGATTTAAGTTTAAAATTCTATTATCTCTTAATCGAACTAATGCTCATAGTTCTTCTATGAACTAAAATTTAAATAAATAATTAAAATAATAAAAAACATCCTTTTTTTTTATACAAGAATTAT